ATTTCAAAATCAATGGTGGCGTCGTCGTATTACAGAACGCACTAAATTCCAGATTTTCTAAATAATTCGTTCGGAATTTGAGCCGTGTATGGCCTGCATTTAGTCCAATTTTCCATTAAACATCCTCAGACACCACCTGAGAATTTATATTTACCTACTGTATGAATGTTTAACCCCTTTGCTGCCAGGTCTGTACGTCGTACAGAGCCGACAGCGGCGATGGTGGGGCGTTGCAATCCAGTGGCTGCAGCCACAAGGATTGTGCCTAAAACTGACAGGCGGACGCAGCAGTGATGAAAAAAAAAATTAAGTACAAAAAACTTTTTTTTTTTTTTGGGAAAAAAATAGTTACACCTAATGTTCTTGGCTGCAACTTTCATTTTTTACAATTAAACAAAAAGCTAAAATTTTCTTTTCGAAGGGATATTATGTGCTTGGCTGTAACTTTATTTTTTTTACAATTAAAAAATGATTTTTTTTTTTTTTTTAAATTTTTTCATCACATAGGGGACAAAGTTCCTTTTTATGTGATGATTGTTGGTGACAGGTTCTCTTTATTGAGGCATCCAAAGTCTAAAAGACCCTGAATGTCTCCCCTGTACTCCACTGAATGAAATGCAGTGCACACCGCACCGCATTACATTCCTTCCTGACCTCTATGGCCAGGAAATCTGTCAACGGGGACCCGGAAGTGACATCATAACATCACTTCTGAGTCAGGACAAGGAGGGGAGCGCATGTGCCTGTTCTGCTTCCTCCCCTCCAGCCGAGGGTGGTAACAAAGTCCCTTATGTGATGATTTTTGGTGACAGGTTCTCTTTGAGACATCCAAAGTCTAAAAGACCCTGAATGCCTCCCCTGTACTCCACTGAATGTAATGCAGTGCACATCGCATCGCGTTACATTCTTTCCCAATCTCTACGTCTGGGAAATCTGTCAAAGGGGACCCGGAAGTGACGTCATAACATCACTTCCGGGTCAGGAAGTGGGCGTGCTCGCTTTCCTCCTTCATCTCTAGCCGGCGGTGGTGAACCGGGCCCGCAGATGGGCAAGCAGAGCCTGGAAGACTTCATGCAGGCGGGGGGGGGCGGAGGCTGGCACTGTGGGCTGTGTGGATGCAATCCGCTGTAGCGCTACCACCCGAATGCTTCCACCTGACAGGTGAGCCCTGCTGCTTTCCCCGCAGCAGGGCTGAAGGTGAAAATTAACTGCCTGCCTGGAACTACATGTCCCGGCATCGGGCGATAGGAATTCAACATCTCTGAATAAACGTAGTATGTGATTACATATCCTAGGCTGGTGTCATGTTCTCACATGGCTTTCTGTATAACTTGTGAGACTTGTCCAGCACATTGGAACAGCATTCAGGCTCAAAGCATTGTCTGATTTTCAGTGCCGCAGATCTTTTACAGTCTCGTTCACTTGGGCGTACACCCCTTCAACGGCCGTATCTACCCCCAGGGGGGATGCAATGAGGTTCTGTGCATCTCCCATGTAGGCAGTCCCAATCATGTCAGTTGGATTGCAGTGGAAGAACGGATACAGCTGAATGCAGATAGTGTGAGTTTGGGGACATGCACCAGCACCCACATGGATGTCCATTAATATGGCCGACTGTATATCGGTCTGCAATGGACATTTTTTTTTTTTTTTGGGTCACGCATGCACTTTTTTTCCCAGTAGTGAAATGGAAAGTATTTGCCTTTAAAGGGAAGATAATCAATAAATGAAATGGAAATTTTGATATTTTTGGTTTAAAAAAAAAAAAAATCCGAATAAGTGTATATTATTTGGGAAAATCCCTCCCGTAGGCTTGAGCTGGAAAATGCCTCCCGTAGGCTTGAGCGGGAAAATGCCTCCCGTAGGCTTGAGCGGGAAAATGCCTCCCGTAGGCTTGAGCGGGGAAAAATGCCTCCCGTAGGCTTGAGCCGGGAACGCGGCCCTCCCGTAGGCTTGAGCCGGGAACGCGGTAGGCTTGAGCCGGGAACGCGGCCTCCCGTAGGCTTGAGCCGGGAACGCGGCCTCCCGTAGGCTTGAGCCGGGAACGCGGCCTCCCGTAGGCTTGAGCCGGGAACGCGGCCTCCCGTAGGCTTGAGCCGGGAACGCGGCCTCCCGTAGGCTTGAGCCGGGAACGCGGCCTCCCGTAGGCTTGAGCCGGGAACGCGGCCTCCCGTAGGCTTGAGCCGGGAACACTTGAAAATTGCTTGAAAATGGTGCTCTGCTTAATAATGTGGAACACCCTCCTTTAGTAGTTTTTCCTTAAATTGGGCTCACCGGCCAATCTAATTATCACAGGTGTCCGAGATTGTTTTCAGGGATCAAAAGAGCCCTGACACACAATGCCATCCATGAGTTACACTGAAAAACAAAATATTTCATCTTTGTGACACTTAAATAGAATTTGCATAATAATTTGAAACGGTGTATGTAAATGTATGTGGCTATATGTAGCTACAGTGCAGGAAATGCGTATTTGCTCCCCTGCTGATGTTGAATGTTCGCCCCTCACAAAGAAATGATCGGTCTAACAATGGAATGTTCTGTGTAACACTGAGAGACAGAATAGCAACAACAAATTCAGCAGAAATGCGTCTAACAAATGATGACTGATCTGCATGTTCATGAGGAAAATAAGGATTTGATCCCCTTCACAAAACATGACTTAGTACTTGGTGGCAAATCCCTTGTTGGCAATCACAGAGGTCAGATGTTTCCTGGAGTTGGCCCCCAGGTTTGCACACATCTCAGGAGGGATTTTGGCCCACTCCTCTTGGCAGATCCTCTCCAAGTCTTTAAGGTTTGGTGGCTGACGTTTGGCAACTCAAACCTTCAGCTCCCTCCACAGATTTTCAATCGGATGAAGGTCTGGAGACTGGCTAGGCCACTCCAGGACCTTAATGTGCTTCTTCTTGAGCCACTCCTTTGTTGCCTTGGCCTTGTGCTTTGGGTCATTGTCATGCTGGAACACCCTTTCACGATCCATTTTCAATGCCCTGGCTGAGGGAAGAAGGTTCTCACCCAAGATTTGACGGCACATTGCCCCGTCCATCGTCCCTTTTGATGCGGTGCAGTTGTCCTGTCCCCTTAGCAGAAAAACACCCCCAAAAGCAGAATGTTTCCACCACCATGTTTCACAGTTGGGATGGTGTTCTTGGGGTCATAGGCAGCATTCCTCCTCCTCCAAACACGGCGAGTTGAGTTGATGCCAAAGAGCTGGATTTTGGTCTCATCTGACCACAACACTTTCCACCAGTCCTCCTCTGCATCATTCAGATGTTCAGTGGCAGACGTTCAGATGGGCCTGGACATGTGCTTTCTTGAGCAGAGGGACCTTGTGGGCACTGCAGGATTTCATTCCTTGTCGGCGTAGTGTGTTACCAATTGTTTTCTTGGTGACTGTGGTTCCAGCTGCCTGGAGATCATTGACAAGATCCTCACGTGTAGTTCTGGGATGATTCCTCACTGTTCTCATGATCATTGACACTCCACCAGGTGAGATCTTGCATGGTGCACCAGACCTAGGGAGACTGACACTTGTTTTGTGTTTCTTCCATTTGTGAATGATTGCACCAACTGTTTGTCACCTTCTCACCAAGCTGCTTGGCCATAGTTTGGTAGCCCAGTCCAGCCTTGTGTGGGTCTACAACCTTGTCCCTGACATCCTTGGACTGCTCTTTGGTCTTTGCCATGGTGGAGACTTTGGAATCTGATGGTTTGATTGCTCCTGTGGACAGGTGTCTTTTATACAGGTAACAAAATGAGATTAGCAGCACTCCCTTTAAGAGACTGCTTCTATTCTCAGCTTATTAACTGTATGAGAGACACCTGGTAGCCAGAAATCCTGCTGAATGATAGGGGATCAAATCCTTCTTTCCCTCATGAACATGCAGATCAGTCATCATTTGTTAGACATGCATTTCTGCTGAATTTGTTGTTGCTATTCTGTCTCTCAGTGTTACAATACACCGAACATTCGATTTTTAGACCGATCATTTCTTTGTGAGGGGGCGAACATTCAAAATCAGCAGGGGATCAAATACTTATTTCTTTCATTGTATATGTAACTATATTTGTAGGTCTGTACTGTGCCAGCGAGCAGAGGTTCTGTTGGAAGCTTGTCTCGATGACCGGCATTTCATTCTTTGCCATTGATCGGCGGTGCTCCGGGTTACGTGTCAGCATTGCTGTGCTTGTCAGGACATGAACTGGCAAAGCAGCGCAGACGTGACACCCCAAGCCTTTGTGTTCCTGATATACAACCTATGACATATTTCACGGTATTCTGATATATAGATGTTAATGCCACGATTTGCATGCAGCCCATTTCCTTTTAAACGCAGGGCGAGCCCGAGGCTCGCAGCAGCCGCCCTGCAGCTTTTCCACGTGTGGGTGTCATCTCATTGTGACTCCGGTGATTCACACGACACGCCTTGAATTCACCTAAGTCCCCGATACGCCGCGCGTTGCGTCACCGTTCCTTGGCACCCGACATGCGAGACCTAATGACCTACAGCAAGTACAAAGATTGTTCTAGAAAGAAAAAGGTGCTCCAGCATTCGCAATACAGGATTTCCTCTTTAAAAACTTGGAATGTTGTTATGTCAATGGAATGAGGGCTCACTCCAAGGAACCTCTCCATGTCTAGTGATCACGGCACACCTCACTAATCTCTGTGTGCGTCCAGCTCTCTCCAAACATCACATCCTCCCGTCTGTGACTGGAATGTCTCCCTCTCGGCGGGATCACTCATTGTATTGCTCTTTATAGAAAGTGGGCGATATAAGGCAAAACCCCCCCAAGGGCCACATTTGTACACGAAACCCCCCCCCCCCCCCCCCCCCCCTGTAGAATGTCTTCACCTGCTTGTCCCGGCCTGCCTGAGCTTCTGCTGTCTTCTCTCATTCTTTGTTCTTCTTCTGGCCAGGCCACATTTAAATTGTAGCTGTGTGTGTCTCTGACCTTTACCCTGTCCTCTGTACAGAAAGGAGTATGCTCTAAAAGGCTAGGCAACCTGCGTCTCTCTAGCTGTTGTGGAACTACATTTCCCATGAGGCATTGCAAAGATTACAAAGTGACAGTTACAGCTATGACTTGCATGAGGCATGATGGAACTTGTAGGCCTGCGGCTCTCAGGTTGCCTACCCCTGGGCTAGGTTCATATGTGTGCGGGTGGTGCGGCCGCGGATCCGCACGTGAAAATCCACCACCCGCACAGAGGAATGCGAACCCGCGGGTGCCATTAGATCTAGTGGCACGCCGCCCACACTGGAAACCGCAACCGTACTGGGAACCTCGGCTGCGTTTTCAGAAGAAGTGCTGGGACTTCTTCCCTGCGTGTCCCGGGGCTCGGGAATCCATTCAAACGAATGGGTTCTCATGCCCCCGCAGAACATGGCCTGCATGGCTCCATATATGTGAACCGGGGGTAATGCCGGCCATAGATGGTTCGAAAATCGGGCGTTTTTTTGTTTTTTTTTTTTTTTTTTTTTTTTTTTTTTTTTTTTTTTTTTTTTTCGTCCGAAAGATTTCACGTTGGAAAATGCGTGGAAAACGACCGGTTTTTCATGTCAATGATCATCAAATCGTACGATCATTTCTTACTAAAAAAAAATATGCGCATGAGCCGTGACCTGGAAGGAACAGAAGTTTTGTCGGTTATATGGGGTGAACTTTATGACTCGGTCGGCCGATTTTCATAATAATTGGTGGTTACGTTGGTTTAACGAACGACCAGGGGCGGACTGACCGTTTGGAAACTCGGGCACCGCCCGAGGTCAGTAGTGGGCCCCATGAGATGCCCCTGGTACCTTTTTCATAGGCTTTTTTGAGTTTTGGGCAAGGACACAGGGGCCCCATGAGTTGTCAGTCCACCCCTGCGAACGACCGATGTTTCGTTTATCGGACAAAAAAAAAAAACGGCCTGTTTTCGAGCCGTCTATGGCCTGCATAAGACTGCTGACCCTTCTCACCTGTACCAGTTGTAGTTTTTTTTTTTTTCTCCGTGATTGGGGGAGGGGCATTGGAATGAAAATTCCAGATCAAATCTACACTGATGGCCTAAAATATGCAGAGCTGCTTATCTTTTATATTTGTAGACTTAGTAACCCCGTCAGTCATTGAAATGAATATAAAGTGATTTTAAAGGCTTTTTTTAACAAATGTGTATACTTAAAGCAGAGTTCCGCTCACGCTGTCAAAAATTAAAAGTCGGCAGCTACAAAAACTGTAGCTGCTGACTTTTAACCACTTCCTGTCCGGACACTTTCACCCCCTTCCTGTCCAGGGCAATTTTCAGCTTTTAGCGCTATCACACTTTGAATGACAATTGCGCGGTCATGCAACACTGTACCCAAATGAATTTTTTACCATTTTTTTGAGACGGATAAAGCTTTATTTTGGTGGTATTTATTCACCGCTGGGATTTGTATTTTTTTTGCTATGTAAATGAAATGTCCAAAAATTTTTTAAAGTGTTTTTTTTTTATAAAATTTTGCAAATAAACAATATTTCATCATAAATCTTAGCCAAAATTTATTCCGTTATCTTTTTAGTAAAAAAAAAAAAAAAAAATCCAAATTAGTTTATAAGCAAAAATTATAATTTTTAAACATTTTTTTTTTTACATTTTTATTTTATTTTTTTATATTTTATTTTTTTATTTTTTTTTTACATACTGTCACCCTAGCAGTACAGTGTCACCATGGTGACACTGTACTACTTGTGGGGGGTGTTGAAGATTTTTTTTTTTTTTTTTTTACACTGATTGCTTTTACACCCATATAGGATGTAAAAGCAATCATTTCTCTTTCTCTCTGGCTGCATTCTTGCACTCATTGAGAAGTACTGAGTGAGCTGTGATTGGTCACAGCTTGTCACATGGTACAAGGCTTTTGTGAATAGCCTTGTACCATGTGACCTCTGTGATCATTCACAGATTTCACACGTAGTAAGCAATGATGTCACAAGTGACATCTTGCTTACTACTTTGCATGTGATCACTGATTGGGTCCCGTCCGACGATCGGTGTTTCACTGTGTCCGAGGACACAGCGGGCACCGGATCGCGGTGCTGCGCGCTCCCAGGGAGCGCGCACAAGCAGGGTGCGGGGAGGCCGTTTATAGACGGCCACCCGACCCTGCAGTGCCACCGTCCGGCCGTTTATATACCACAGCCGGACGGGAAGTGGTTAAAAAAACAGCCACTTACCTGTCCCTCGGTCCCGTGGTGTGTCCCCCGCAGCTCGTTTCCCCAGCTATCTGGTGATCCAGGTGCTGGTATCTTCAGTGTGGGCACCCGGCTGTGACAGCTTGCGGCTTCCCAGCTGGGTGCCCACTGAGCATGTGCGAGTAGTGCTGCGCTTCATGAATGGCCCCGTGGTCTTCTGGGACCTGTCACGTGTTCCACAAGACTACGGGGAGGGAGGACAACTTCCACTTCAGATCGCCTAGGCCAGGGGTGTCAAGCTGGTGGCCCTCCTGCTGTTTGCAAAACTACGAGTCCCATCATGCTTCTGCCTGTGGAAGTCATGCTTGTAACTGTCAGTCTTGCAATGCCTCATGGGACTTGTAGTTTGGCAACAGCTGGAGGGCCGCCAGTTTGACACCTGTGGCCTAGGCGATCACAGTGGGAGTGGGTACCTGTCAAATTCTGGTATCCACTCCCCAAAGGTGCCAATCCTTAATGGGGAGCAGGAGACCAGTCTTTATTATTATTATTATTATTATTATTATTATACAGGATTTATGGCGTCAACAGTTTGCTCAGCGCTTTAAAATATAACGGGAGACAATACAGCAACAATACAGTTCAATACAAGAGGGATAGGAGGGCCCTGATCCTGGGAGCTTACAGTCTTTAAAGCGGAACTTCCCCTTTAGGGTGGAGCTCTCCTTTAACTGCTGTGTGCAGTGGTTTTGCACAGAGCAGTTCAGATCCTCCTTTTCTTTTGTTTCCCACCAGCTCTTTTGGCTCCTCCCTCCTGTCGGGTGCCCCCATATCAAGTAGCTTGCTATGGGGGCACTTGCTGCTCCGTGTGTCCATTCACACATGGAGCCGCTACTCTGCCTCTCCTCTTTGGCTGTGATTGTCAGCAGTGGGAGCCAATGGCTCCTGTATCTGTCTCAGCCAATGAGGAGAGGGAGTCCTGGGATATCCAAGAATCCAGTGCACATCACTGGATCGAGAAGGCTTAGGTGAGTATTAGGGGGGGCTGGGGCAGGATGCTGTATACAGGTTTTTTTACCGTCATGCATAGAATGCAAAAAAACCTTTATAACCACTTTTAAGTGGTAGTAAACCTCAGACATGAAATATGAAGAAAGCATATCCCTCTATAGTGTGTATTTGTCTCAGTCCAGAGCACCAAGTGTCATTTCTGTCTGCTGCCTCCTTCCTCTGCTATCAGCATGATTCACTTCTGACTCATATATATGTGATTTTGCACTCCCTGGTATAGGGGGCACGCTGCTTCTTCTGTGAATAGTCATAGCAGGAGCCAATCAACGGGTGCCAGCCAATGGATGAGCGCCAATACCAATAGATTTGCAAAGAGAGTGACCGGACACAGCTCTGCTTTGTTTACATCGATTAGCAGGGAATAAAATCCAGCAGATTGCCTAGTAAAACCACCACACCGTGTACACAAAAAAACTTAAGCACACAGTTAACCCTTTGATCACCCTAGATGTTGAATCACTACCCAGTCAGTATTATCAATACAGAGACATTGTATAATTTGAGCATTGATCACTGTATTAGTGTCACTGGTCCCCACAAAGTCTCAATGTCAGATCGTCCGCCACAAAATCGCAGTCCTGCTATAAGTTGCTGATCGCTGCCATTATGAAAAAAAAAAAAGTTCCAGTATGTATCCCATAGTTTGTAGACACGATAACCTTTGCGCAGACCGATCAATGTACGCTTACTATATATATATATATATATATATATATATATATATATATATATATATATATATATATATATATATATATATATATATATATATATATATATATATATATACATACATACATACAGTTGCAAGAAAAAGTATGTGAACCCCTTGGGATTACGTGGAGTTTTGCATGAATTGGGTATAAAATGTGCTCTGAACGTCATCTAAGTCACAACAATAGAAGAACACAGTCTGCTGAACATAATACTACACAAACATTAGATGTTGCCATGGTTTAATTGCACATAACATGTAAACATTCACAGTGCAGGGAGGAAAAAGTATGTGAGGCCGCTTCTTCAGAGGCGGATACCATTGACACTTCTTCAGAGGCGGGTACCATTGACGCTTCTTCAGAGGCGGGTACCATTGACGCTTCTTCAGAGGCGGGTACCATTGACGCTTCTTCAGAGGCGGGTACCATTGACGCTTCTTCAGAGGCGGGTACCATTGACGCTTCTTCAGAGGCGGGTACCATTGACGCTTCTTCAGAGGCGGGTACCATTGACGCTTCTTCAGAGGCGGGTACCATTGACGCTTCTTCAGAGGCGGGTACCATTGACGCTTCTTCAGAGGCGGGTACCATTGACGCTTCTTCAGAGGCGGGTACCATTGACGCTTCTTCAGAGGCGGGTACCATTGACGCTTCTTCAGAGGCGGGTACCATTGACGCTTCTTCAGAGGCGGGTACCATTGACGCTTCTTCAGAGGCGGGTACCATTGACGCTTCTTCAGAGGCGGGTACCATTGACGCTTCTTCAGAGGCGGGTACCATTGACGCTTCTTCAGAGGCGGGGGACCATTGACGCTTCTTCAGAGGGGGGGGGGGACCATTGACGCTTCTTCAGAGGGGGGGACCATTGACGCTTCTTCAGAGGCGGGTACCATTGACGCTTCTTCAGAGGCGGGTACCATTGACGCTTCTTCAGAGGCGGGTACCATTGACGCTTCTTCAGAGGGGGGGACCATTGACGCTTCTTCAGAGGCGGGGACCATTGACGCTTCTTCAGAGGCGGGGACCATTGACGCTTCTTCAGAGGCGGGTACCATTGACGCTTCTTCAGAGGCGGGTACCATTGACGCTTCTTCAGAGGCGGGTACCATTGACACTTCTTCAGAGGGGGATACCATTGACACTTCTTCAGAGGGGGATACCATTGACACTTCTTCAGAGGCGGGTACCATCGCAGTTCCGCT